TTTCACCCATGCCTCAGTATTTCAAAGTTTCTACATCTCTCCTTTTTGTAGTTACTTTCCATTGGGTTAAGTCCTCTAGCTTGTCAATATCCTCTTAAAATGTAATGTTAAGAATGGAACTCAGTACTCCAGATGTGGAAAGACCAGCCTAGGAGTCGAGAGGCAGCAGGGCAAATGGCAAAGCCCATTGATTCAGGAGTCAGAAGATCTGGATTCAAATTCTGGTGCTGATGCTCTCTTATGTGACCTTGAGCTTTATTGACCTTATCTGTAAGATAAGAGGGTTGGACGAGGTGGATGTCTGAGGTCCCTTCCAGCTCTGGATTGATGATCCTGGGAGTGCAGGAGAATTGTCATTTTCCTAGACCTGGGACCCAGACCTTTATTGCAAGCTCTTTTGTTCTTGAAATGAAATGGCAGGTGCTTGATACTTAAATGAAGGTGGGCAGCTAGGTGGCACAGTGGATAACATACCAGACCTGGAGTCAGGAAGACTTATCTTCCGAAGTTCAAATCCAGCCTCAGACACTTCCTAGCTGTGTGACCCTGGGCAAGTCACTTAACCCTGTTTTTACCTCATTTTCTTCATCTGTAAAATGAGCTGGAGAAGGAAATGCCAAACCACTCCAGTATCTCTGCCAAGAAAACTCCAAATAAGATTACAAAGAGATGGACACAACTGAAAAATAACTGAACAGCAAAATGAAGATATATGTGGTATGTTGGATTAGATGTCTTATAAAGTATCCTGCATTTGAGAAATCTTGCTCTGAATAAGAACTTTAAAAATACCAAGTGCTGTATTCTTTTCTTGTATCTTTTAATAGTCTCACAGTATTTCTTCACTAAATTTTAGTGCTTTCAGATTAAAAAGTTGCTAGATAAAAGTGAATATGTAAACTTTTCAAAATGCTATGAATATTAATTTTGTACTTCAAGTGACTTCTTGAGGACAAAGATAAGTAATAGTCTGGTGAAAATCACATGCCACCAAGGACTTGAAATTAAAAATGAGCAAAAGAAGGTGACAGCTTTCTTTCGCTGACATCAATTAGTCAGTCTCAAAAGGACTTGAGAAGCCCTTAAGTTCTAACTCCTTAAGCAATATTTAGATCTGCTAAAACATGTACATCAGGTGGTTTCATAGCCCCCTGTTTGTATACCTCTAGTGACCCTGAACTTATTACTTCACAGGGAAGGCCCTTCCATTTTCAGATAGATCTTATAACTAGGAAATTATTCCCCATATTGCCTCCTTGCAGCTTTTCACCTTTTATACTTGTTTTGTCTCTGGAACCAAGCAAAGGAAGGCTAATGATTCTCACATATAATGGCTCTTCAGATATTTGAAGATGGCTTCCCTACACTAACTCTAATTCATGCAGTTCACCCAGTTTTCTCTCCTTCAGGGTAAACATCCTTGATTTCTTTCCCAAATCTCCATGACATTCTTTCTAGTCTTCTTACCATCCTGATTGCCTTTGTTTGGACAGTTACTGGCTATCAGTATCCTTCCTAAACATGGTACACAGAGTGAAACAAAATATTCCAAATGTGGTCTCATAGTACAAGGAGACTGTCACCTTCCTTTATGGATGGTGTATTTCTGTTCCCCAAATAGTCTCACTCCAGTGACTCCTCATGGTGTGGAGGTGACCTTGAGTCTTACAAATACTATGCCAACAGAATAGAATGCAAGCTCTGACAGTTCCTACCAAGCTGAGAAGACGTGGGGTACAAGTTAGGCTAGAGCAACTCTTAGAACCTTAGGAGTTGAATGGTTACCTACACCCACACTGATGACATTCCAAACCCTTGAAGTTTTGTGATTGTTCTGTCATGCCTGACTGACCCCATTTTTGGTGTTTTCTTGGCAGAGATACTGGAGTGGTTTGCCATCTCCTTCTCCAGTTCATTTTATAAATGAGGAAACTGAGGCAAACTGGATTAAGTGACTTGTCCAGGGTCCCACAGCTAGTAGGTGTCTGAGGTCAGATTTGAACTCAGGAAGAGGAGTCTTCCAGACTGCAGGCTTAGCACTCTGCACATTGCCATCTAGCTGCCCTCTAACAGTTCCTACCAAGCTAAAAAGACTTGGGACATAGGCTAGGCCAGAGCAACTCTCAGAAGTTGTGGAATTGGAGGAGTGCTTACACGGACACTGATGATGTCCCAATGCAGCAACAGTCTTCTCCCCACCCCTTTGGCCATTGACTGTGTCATTTTATAGACTAGATTCTTATTGCTTTTAGTGAACTATGCTCATTCTTAATGTTTACAACCTGTATGATATAATTACCATTCTAGATTTTTGTCATAGAGAGATGCTAAGCTCACTCATCTATAGTATGCAGAACACTTCTTATTCCCCCTTTTTGAAAATAAGGAAAACGTTTGAGGAGTTCCAACCTCATTGGCACCCATCTCATTCTCCCCAGATCCTCAGAGATTACCATTAGAAGTTCAGCAATTACATCTGAGGTTGTTTTGATACGTGGGGATGTAGTCCTTCTGGGACAGGGACAAAATCATTTATGGCAGCTGAGTGCTACACCTACTATCTTTTTATTTTTCTTGGGTTTTAATTCCTGCTTAACTATTTTTCCTATCCTTTTTGAGATGAAGATCATTATCCTTGGGAGGAGAGAAAACAGAAGCAAAGTAGTAGTTGAATAATTAGGTTGTCCCTAACTGTTGGGATTGAATTGTTTTCTCTTCGTCATTTGTTTACATTATCCTATCTGCTCCAAGAAGCCATGTTCTTTTTTTTTTGCCCCCAGTGCAGCTTTTAAAAGTCCTTTTGTGTTGTCCTCTAAACTTGCATCAAGCCTCAGCTTGTTCTAGGCTTTAACTGTGCTCATATGTCATATTTATCTTTGGTTATGTGCCCCCACTTCCATGCCCTTTTAAATCTGACCTCATCAGAGAATTCCCTTTGAAGCCACATCTCTCTTTCTCTTCCTTTCATAATTCATTGGAGTTATTCATGGTTGGAACATTAGGATTTCATTCCTGAATGTTAACCATTGCCTTTAGGAGAATCAGTGGGATCATACCTCCTTTTCTTTGAACTTCTCGAAATCTTTCCTGAAGTATCATGTAAATGGCTCTCCTTGGTTATTTCCAACTCTATGATGGTATCATTGCTTTCTCCAAAGTTCTTGTAACTTACCAGCCATTTTTGTCAGAATCAGATCCAATGTAGGATCAGATACAAAGCAGATATTATTCTCCTCCTCCTTACCTTTACATTCTGAAAGGTACATTTATCCATTTATCAGCAAGACAAGTGAAGGAATGATGAGAATTTTTGCTTTTTGCTGAGTTAGGCTGCATGCCCAACTCTCCCATCACAATTACAGCCTTCCCTTATCTTCCTGACAGCTTTGTGATCTAAATCAAGAACCTGTCATCCATTCCCTCATGGACATCTTGTAGTACATTCCTACAACAATATCACTTCTGTTCATTCTTCCTTTTGCCTGTACCCAAACATTTTTTTCATCACCTTTCCCCATTAGGTTCATGGATTGTCATGTAGGTACGTTTCTAGTTTGCCATCGCCTCTGTCGAATTTGTTGCTTTTGAACATGGTACAGACTCCTTCGTCTCCATATTGTAGCTTGTCACACTAAGTTTTGGTGATGTCTCATATTTACTGCTGCTTCTTAAAAATGTCAAGTTTGCTTTATTATGCATACCCTCTGCACTAGATACTGGTGGTTAAAGTATCAATCTAATTCCTTCCAGTTATTTTGTGTAATGAATTACTATTTAAGTCATATTAAGTCATAGAAGAATTGACATTGTTTTTGCTGTTTTATCCCTTCATAGTGCCTAGTCTAACAGTTATCTGAGAGTATTGTATGATGTTGTGGAAAAAATGCTGAACTTAAAATCAGGAGAGACCTACCTAAGTTGAAATCCTCTTTCTGATATTTTCTTGCTTTGTGACCATAGAAAAATAACCTAACCTCTCTGAGCCTCAGTTTCTACATCTATAAAAAAGGAATCATAATACCTGTAGTACTTATATCACAGGGTGATTGTAAAGGATTGAGTGAGACAGTGTACGCTCAACACTTTCAAACTTTAGTGTAAAATATAAATATGTAAGCAAAGTAAAAAAGTAACATACAAAGTATTACTTTTTTCCTAAATATATATAAATCAATATATAAATATTACTTTAGATGTTTATATATATAAGGTAACATATAAATATCATCTAGGCACTTTTCTGCCCTCCTTCCACTGTTAATTTAAAGCTTGTTCCTCTAAAATCCTCTGTCCAAATGTATTCTTTGCAGTCTTATTAGATGCATTCTTTTTCTAGTAAGACCAGATCCCTTTCTCCAAAACCATCTTCTCAGCCAACCGTTTAACAATAACCTGTGCAAACTATACAGAACATGACAGGCTTTTCCACATTGTCTTGAACAACTAAGAGTAGTAACCACAGTGTCTTCCAGAAGGGAGGACCTGAGGGAAGAGAGACAAGTCATTTTCAGAGGGAATAGAGGCATGACAAGTCCCTGTGTGGTTATCCATGCCTAGACTTGCTTGGTTAAGGTAATTTAAAAACAACTTCCAGCTGAGCACACTGTTTTTCTAGAGATTAGAGTAGGGCCCTTTTGAAAGGGAGGCAGGAGTGGGAAGCAAAGAACATCACATTATCAGCAGCTCCTAAATTTTATCAGGATAAAAGGACTCCCAACAAATACTTAAGAAAATAGTGAGCTTAGCTCTACTCTTAGGTGGGGTCAGGGAATAAAGCAATAATGGCATTTGAGTTTATCAAATGTACATGGGGTCCCATTGCTGACTTTTAAGGATAACCTGAGGGTTTTCTGTGCAACAGGTACACCCCTGCATAAGAATTATGATCCCCCCAAACCCACACTCTTGGGGAATCCATGCCAAATAAATGCAATGCAAAATACATGTCGTGTGTGTTCTTGTGAATACTAATTGACTTATTAAAATATTTCTTAATGAAGGAATGAATCGGAAGACAGCCCAAACTCTCAGACCCAGACATCGTCCAGTACCTTATCTCAGTTTGTAAATGCTCCAGGTTGCTGTTCCATCGATGGGGTAGATCATCAAGTTTTAGACACTTATACCAGTGTTCGTAAAGGCAGCTTCGCAGAAGATTCTAATCAGGACTACTATGATAAGGTGAGTTTAGCTAGTTGAAATACTATACTGTGGTAGGGGGACCTAAATCAAGTATATAGCTGAGAGTTCGAACATTTTATAGGAAAAATATATATTATCACTAAAATAAAGTATTTTCTCTGAGTTATGCATTGTAATGATTAGACAGGGAAACAACCCTATAACTGATTGTCTTGAAAGGTACCACAGTATAATGGAAATAGAGTTTGCAGCAGCTAGGTGGCACCGCAGATCTTGGAGTCAGGAAGACTTGAATTCAAATCTGCCCTCAGACGCTATCTGTATGACGTTGGGCAGGTCACTTAACCTGTTTATTTATCTGTAAAATGGGGATAATACTAGCACCTTCCTCCCAGGGTTGTTAATGAGATGTATTTGTGAAGCACTTTCTTCTATCTGGGAAACTTTGTAAACTTTAAAGCAGTAGATATATGTGTTACTGTTATAATCTTCAAATTTATTTCAGAATGAAGGTGGTGATGGTTATCTACTCCTGGTGTGTATTACTCCAGATGAAGATGGAAAATTTGGGTTTAATCTTAAGGTAGAGTAGTATTCATAAACTCATGTAAATATAATAGGTAATTTCACAACATTTCAAACCTTTTAACAGGATTAGAATTATTACTTTCCGTTAGAAATGTGTGTTCTGCAAGTTGTTGTATATGATTGTGATGGAATACTGTTGCACTTTAAGAAATGATGAGTGTGATGCTCTCAGAAAAACACAGAAAGATATATGTGAACTGATGCAAAGTGAAATGAGCAGAACCAGGAAAACACTATACACAGTAACAGTAATATTGTGTGATGATCTACTATGAATAACTTAGATATTCTCAGCAATATAATGATCCAAGACAATTCTGAAGGACTTATGATGAAAGGTGCTCTCCGTCTCCTGAGAAAGAACTGGTAGAACCTGAATGCACATCAAAGCTACTTATTCTTTATATTATTTTTCTTGGGTTTTTTTTTTGTCTGTGTTTTCTTTCACAGAATGACTTATATGCAAGTGTGTTTTGCATGACTACACATGTATAACCTTTGTCAAATTGCTTGCCTTCTCAATGACAGAGGGAGGGGAAGAAGGAAGAGAATTTGAAACTCAGAATTTGAAAAAAAATGTTAAAATTGTTTTACATGTAATTGGGAAAAAAATAAAATATTAAATAAGATTTTTTTAAAAAAATTTGAAAAAGAAATGTGTTCTGGCTAAAGATAAGGAATCAGTTCTATTAAAATGTAAGTTCATTGCAGGTAGAGTTTGCTTAACTCTTTTTACATGTATTGGGCCTAGCACAGAGTAGGCCCAGAGTAGGTGCTTAATAGGTGAATATTTGTTGATTGATTGATTCAACCCATGAGAGTCTGTGTTACATACAGTAGAGGTGACGAGGTGGAGCAAGGGACAGAATGCTTGGCTTCTTGGAGACAGGAAGACTTGAGTTCAGATCCAGCCTCAGACACTTACTAGCTCTGTGTGTGTGACCCTGGACAAGTCACTGTTTGCCTCAGTTTCCCCAACTGTAAAATGAGGAGGTTGAGTCAGATGATCTCAAAGGTCCCTTCCAGCTCTAACATCCTACTATTTTCTGGTGCTTATTTGCTAAAAAATAGTAGCAGACATTTCATTATCAACCTCTAGAATGTGGCCTTAGGTATTCCTCATAGCCAGAAAGCATCAATTCTGCGATGTCAGAGATCAGCTAAGACTAGAAGAGGGAGAATTTTAATTCTGGGTTATAAATAAGTTGAATTCTGGTCCCAATCACTGTTAGAAACTAAATGATAACTGAAGCTTTTTGTCTAGTTTAAACGTTCTTCGATTCTAAGACTGAAAAGACACAACATATGGCCAAGGTAAGAAATAACTCTATCGTATCATAGAAGAAGGAGAAATAAATCTCATTTACACAATCTTCTCTGCAGTGAGATGGCTGCCGTTCCCTTGCACGCTTTTGTCATCTCTCCCAAACCAACCTCCCATTAGAACCTTTGAAAATTGCATAAGAGTTTGAAAGCCATTGTGAAAAACACTGCTAGATTATCTGGAATATTTTTATGATGGTTGTCACCAAATTTAGTATTAACTAAAGAGATTGTGTTAAATGAACTAAAAAGTGAAAAGAAGGATTCTGATTTTTAAAAATCCATTGGATCTTTGCTGGCTCACTTTCAGGAGGACAGGGGTGTCATGGGAACAGACAATCTATTTCTCACTTTTGCCACAAGGGGCAAAATCATTGTTTTCTCAGAGGATCAGAAAACCTGTTACTTAATTTGGTATGAAATCAGGTGGAAGAATGCTCATATCAAATCCTTTCAAAATGAATAAGGATTATATTTGAGAATGACCATTCTAATAGGTTAGCCAGCCTACTTTGTCAATCACCTGGTCCCTAGAGAAACTCATAACGCTTGAGAAATTTGTCTTCGTCATACTCCTGCCTCCCTTTCTGTACCTTTCTCTTTCCCCTGGGAATCTCTTCCCTCTCTATTCGTCCTCATGTTGCCCTCCAGCTGTCCAGAGACTCCTAAAAATCAGTCAGTCAGTAAGCATTCGCTAAGCACCTGCTATGTGCCAGTTGCTACAAAGAACGGTTCTTGCTTTTGAGGATCTGCCACTCTAATGGAGAGGCAACTTGCAGATACTCTATATGCAGGATAAATTGATAATAAATAACAGAGGGAAGGCACCAGAAGTAAGTACCCCATGTTTCAGAATTATTCCACTTTCTTTCTACCAATCAGAACTTTTAAAGTAATTCATGTAAGATATAAATTAAATCTAAAGTTCTAAACAGTCTGATTCTAGCCTACTTTATAAGTCTGGCTGCATTACCACCGAAAAGCCTACTTGCTTCTATCCACTTAGGACAACCCAGAAAGTGAAAAAATTTCACTTCAATCTATACCCAGAGTTCATCAGTTCTCTCTCAGGAGGTAGATAACATTTTTCATCATGAATCCTTTGGATCATTTTTTGTTCAGTATTTTGTTAAATATTCCCTAATTGCCCTTTTAATCTGGTATGGGCAGTAAGGGACGTGTCACAGGCTATGAGTTTGACACCCCTGTCGCAAGGTATCTCAGCCACCGTGTGGTCATCTGATAGCCAGAAGAAATTCTCATGATGCCGTATCTCTTGGATCATTATATTGATCAGAAAGCCAAGTCTTTCACAGTTGATCATCATTACAATGTTGTTGTTACTGTGTACGATGATCTCCTGATTCTGCTCACTTCACTTTGTGTCAGTTCACATAAACCTTCCCAGGTTTTTCTAAAACTATCCTGCTTGTCATTTCTTATAACACAATATTATTCCATCACAATCTCATATACCACAACTTGTTCAGCCATTCCCCAATTGATAGGCATCCTTCCAATTTCTAATTCTTTGCTGCCACAGAAGGAGCTGCTATAAATATTTTTGTATATGTAGGTCCTTTTTTCTTTGATCTTTTTGGGATTATTGCTGGGTCAGCAGGTATGCACAGTGTTATAGCCCTTTGACATAGTTCCAAATTGTTCTCCAAATGGTTAGACCAGTTTACAACGCCTATAAAGGGAGAGCTTTTAATATTCATGTTAAACTCTAGTGGAATGTGTCAGGGTAGTGAGAATATTGGGGAAATAGAAGGCTCCTTATCTCTGCCCTTCTCCACACCCAACACTGTGTGTGTGTGTGTGTGTGTGTGTGCACGCATGCACATAAAAGAATAGAAATCAGAGTCTTGGCACCCTTTGTGAGGAAGAATCCTGATTTCTTTACTACATTGAAATAAAGTTAGGTACTTTTCACTATACTTGTTTTCATTAATGTGAAATACTCTTTTTTTTTTTTAATTTAACAAAATCATCTAGGGTGGTGTTGATCAGAAAATGCCTCTTGTGGTATCAAGAATCAGCCCAGAGTCACCGGTGAGTTAACATTTTAATGTTATTTTCCAGATTCATGTTTAAAAGCTATCATGAATGGATGTTTTAATACTATGCTTTAGAATATTCCTATGGAATCACATTACTTAGGAATATTATCTCATAAGGAATAAAATTAAGGTACAGTGTCTTGCATTGCTTGTGCACTTTTGGGTATCCTTTTCAGTACACCACTAAGATTATCAGAAGATATAATTGCTAATAAACCTTATGGTCTGAAGGAAGTCAGTTACTCCGTTCTTGGAAATAAAATTGCCCCGTCTTGTTGTCCTTTCCCCTAAAACCTCTTTACTTTGCGTACCAGCAGTAGCATTTCAATATAGGTGTCAAATTTCCACAAACAACACAGAAGCCTTAGTACAGTTATGCCTCAAGCAGCAGTGAGACTTTGGGGGTACTGTGTATTACTCATCTTTGTGTTCCAGGGTTTGTCTAATCCTTACCGTTCTCACCATGTACATCCCTGAGGAAAAAGAGTGATTGGTGGTGGGTGGCAGAACGAGGTGGGTGAGGCAGAACGTTATTTGTTCCAAGCAGCTTGAGCTTTGGGGGAGAAGATTTATGAGAGATTAAATAGCAAAGAGGCAGTTAGCTAGATTAACCAGAATGGAGGAAGGCAGTACCAGTAGGAAAGGAGTTGAAAGAAGACTTATATAGGGATTTGGGGCTGCAGCAGGAGAATTTTGACATGTTCTACAGGTACACATTCAAAGACCGGCAGGCCTAGGTGTAAACTAAACTGTGAGATTTCTTAATTTAGGCAAAAATCTAGTTTTCATTGCCGTTTGATAGGGTAGAAGTTGAGGAAAACCTAAGGCTTTTGCTGCTTTTTTGACAAGTCCATGAAAAGATTAGATATCCTAATCCTCAAAGCCAACAACACTTGGGTTCATGTGCCACCTCCAACATATACTAGCTTTGTGGCCCTGAGCAAGTCACAGTGCCAGACATGGGGTCCATCGGCCACAAGGCCCTTGTGTGGCGCGAGCCAGATGAAAATGTAGTTGAGGAATATTTAACAAAATACAGTAAAACACATTAAATTAAAATATGGTTTCCTAAGTCAATATGCGATGCACATTTTGTGGCCCCTCTTTCTATTTGAATTTGATACCACTACTCATGGTAATTCTTACGACTATAAATTACAGAGAAGATGTTGACCTGCATTGGTGAAGGAAGTTTCCTCACCTGGAAGTTCCTAATGCTAATGAAATCACAGATCCATCCAGTCATAATCTCTAGGGGAAATCCAAAATCTTGCATGTTTTATCCTTAATAGAAATCCAAAGAACATCGTCATTATTTATACATAACCCTTTATTTTTGAATAACTACTCAGTTCTTCAAGCAATATAATCCTAATTTTTCTTATGGTCCTTTCTTACATGTTTAATCCTTACTAGATATCCAGAGAACATTGCTACCATTTACACAGAATCCCTTCATTTTTGGATAACTACTTAATTCTTTATTTTCTCTTTAAATCATTTGGATTAAAATCCTCAGCATTCCCATTAAACTCCCCTCATCTTCCTGATTGCTGAGGCTAGAATAAGAGACTAGAATAAAAGTAAAAAATGACTAATTGGGTCATAGGGAAGATCCCTTTTCTTCTGATGTCCCTTTTTCCTATTCATTTGTGCTAACGTTATATTTACCAGGGAAGATAATTGGATTCGAAGTCAGGAGACCTTGGCTCTAATCCTGTCTCTGACTGTGTAAATTTGGCCAAGGTGCTTGAGTTGATCTGTATGATTTCTCAGATCTCTTCAGCTATAGTTTTACAATTCCAAAACATTTATTTTGAGTCATTTTGCCTGTGTTTCGCTAATACCTCAGGATCTTTTTCTGCCATATTTAACAGGATTTTTTCTCCTTAATATGAAGTAGCCCATATTTGTCTCTATTAATAATTATTATTTACTCAAATAGTTATTTATTGAGTACACTTTGTATGCCTAGTACTATTCTGGGTGCAGTGGGAGTTTAAAAAAAGAAAGACCTAAAATATGATTCCTGGTCATAAACAGTTTGAAGTTTAGTTGGGACACAAGTGTAGGAAAAGCACGGAATTGAAAACCATGGACTCTAGTCCTAACCCCACTAACTTGAGCTAGACCAGGGCCTGGCAAACTTTAGAGCCAAATCCAGCCAGCCACCTGTTCTTGTACTGCCCAAGCTAAGAATGAATTTTACGTTTTTAAATAAAGTTTTATTTTATTTAAAAATATAAAAAAACAACAACAGCAATATTCTTACCTCCACTGGCTGTACAAAAATAGGCTTTGGGCCACGTTTTACACTGGGGCCATAGTTTGCCAGACCTTTGGGCTAGAAACTTAAACTCTCTTAAGTTTGAGTTGCCTTAAGTGACCAGTTCAGCTGGATTATCTTCAATGGCAGTTCTAAGGTCTTAGGATTTCTACAAATGAGGTGTGATGATAAAAAAACTAAACAGAGGTGTATATTGTTGTTGTTGTTGTTTTTTAAAGCCTACCACAACTTACACAACCAAATGGATGTTGATCTCTCTAAATTATTCTTCTTTGGAGATGACACTTATTCCGGTGCTGTAGCCACTGCCCAAAACATAAACCATTGTTTAAAATCTCCTTTTAAGTTGGCAGCACATTCTTTGAAATATATTCATTGTTCCTGAAAGATCATCTTCTGAGAGTGGGTTTGGTTTTGGGGAAGCAAGCATAAGACACTTGGAGTCTAATAAGTGAGGTGGTTGCTTATCTTAGACATTGCTATTTTTATTGGGGGGGAAAAAAGTAAAGAAGCAATATTGGCTTTCTTCTTTAACTTGGAAACTAGCCATGAGGGGAATTTCAGAACAGACAAATGGGTTTGGTGCAGTAATGCCATAGTTGGTTGTAAATGTATGGCCTCCCCAAATTACTGCTTGGAAGGACAACACTCATGTTGTTAGAGACATAGAATCTATGGGATCTTTGTCCAAAAAGTAGCTATTTTGCCTTTTTCTTGCTGAACGGTTAACACACAGTATGACGTCGTGTCTTCTGTCTCTAACTCATCAGAGTCCCTTATAAATTTTAGTCTCATTAGTAGCTCATCTTACTTGATGTTATTAGCAGATGGAATGAGGATTAACTGAAGTGTTTGCTGCTGTTGCTGCTGCCGCCGATATGAAGGCAGGATATGGACAAAAGGTTTTCTGAAAAAAAAAATAGCAACAGAAAGATAGCAGTGTTTGCTCGTCATTATAGTAATAAATGGATGGTGACTGCCTTAAGAAAATAGAGCTTCTGTGTAGTTGTTAGTTTTACTTTAAAAACATTTTTTCAGCTGAATTCTGTTTGAAGCTACTTGAAAGTAGCCTCAAATTTTAAGAGTTCTCAACATAGCTATTGATGCATAGAATCATAGCTCTAGAGCTGGGAGGAGGAAACTGAGGCACGAGGAGATGAAGGGACTTGCCCGAGGTCACAGTTCTGAGATGTTAGAAGTATCAAAGGAGAGATTTGAACCCTGGGCCTTTGTTTCCAGACCCAGTGTTCTTTCCATCGTGCCACACTGTCTCCAAAGGATGCAACAGGATAGTAGATGAAGAGAATAATGAATTCTTGATTGTAGTCCCAAGACCCCAGCACAGGAAGGAATGGTATTTCTTCGCTACCCAGGAAGGTAGCTATAGTAACCTAATACATTTTGTTTGATCTTGAAACAGGCTGATAAATGCATTCCTAAGCTGAATGAAGGGGATCAAATAGTACTTATAAATGGCAGAGACATCTCAGAGCACACCCACGATCAAGTGGTGATGTTTATCAAAGCCAGCCGGGAGTCGCACACAAGAGAACTGGCACTATTGATCAGGAGGAAAGGTAACTATGAATCATAAGAATAGGAGTTAATTTGATAAATGACAATGTATTGTCCCTGTAAAGGAGTTGTATTACATGTATAAATTTAGTATGTCTTTAATTCTGTGGCATTTTAACATCTTATAAATAGTAATCTGCTATTGCAAGAAGCCTGGTTCTCATTTACTGACTGTGAAGAAATCTAACATGGGTGTCCGTTCCAAAATGGAAGGCATTTCCCTATAGTTTTTATTTTGGGGGAGGGGAGCTATAAGGAGAAAAACTAAATGTATCCATTTATTTCAATATTATCCATTTATTTATTATTGAGCTCTATTTTTTTTTCTGTATTACTCTCTGAAACTCTCCCTTGATAGTGTACATATATGGATTTCTTTGCTTTCCCTTAGATACCATTAGGTTTGTGTTGAACCCGAAGAGGTTAAAGGTGGGAAGAAGGCCTAAACAGAGTATGAGTGGCTATAGTTAGTGGGTGTAGCCAAGAGATGGGTGAGTGTAGGTGAAAAAGGAAAATTTACCCTAACAAAGAATACTAATCTAGAAGGATGGAGTAGTGGTCCCACCCATCCTTGGCAGTGGCATCAAGAAGTTGATGAGATATGAAGGGCAGTTGCCTTGCTTGACCTTCATCTAAGAAAGGTAGGAATATAAAACAAAACATCCCTAATTTCTGCCTTTAAAAATAACAATTCTCTTTAGTACCTTAAAACCCTTCATAACTTGGCCCCTTCCTGCATTTCCAGGCTTCTTGTATCTTAACTTCCCTCATGTATACTGGTATCCGTTGATACTGACCTCCTTGTTCCTTGCACACAGTACTCCATCTCTGCACTCCAAGTAATTTTACTGACTGTCCTCTATGTTTGGACCCTGTTTTTTGCCTTTCTTTGTATCCCCAGCGCTTAGCATAGTAGTGCTTGCTGGCACATAATAGACATTTGGTAAATACTTGTTGACCGACTTGAGAAGTTTGCCACGACCACCAGTGTTCACTGATCACTTGCTCCTTTGAGCAAGCTCAAAGATCAGTGGAATGCTTTTTGAATGTACCCACTCGTGGCAGGGAAGAAAGACATATGAAGAGGAAAACAGTTTAGTAGTTAACACTTTTGTGGACAGCAATTTTAAGAACCCTGGTCACCCAAATCACCCACAATCACCCACGCAAACCCTGTCTTGATTCTAAGAAAGCACCCCAAATCATTCTTAATTAAATGTTGTAGGTACTTTATTATTATGTGCCCCATGCACATTTTGTCCTGAAAAGTACCAGGACTCCTTGTATAATTGATGTGTACAATCCATCTGTGCACATCTTGGAGGATTTAAAGCCCAGTTTTGAATGATTAACAAGGTATATAGCAGGCGTATGTGTTTTTTAAATATCGCCGCTCTTTGTCATATCCATGACAAATGCAGAGTCCTTGATCCAGTTTCTAAATCCCACTTACAATATTGTTCTCATGGGAAAACATGCCTTAAGTTGTTCTTTTGTCTGACATGGTTTCTAAGAGCACATTGTTGAGGGGGGAAAGCTGGGACTGCCGATATTCATATGAATGACAGTTTTCAACCTTGACTCATAAGTGATTGTTATTCACTGTAAAACAACAGCAAAGACACAAATGACTTAAATGTGCCAATTATTCATCAGGCACTTACTAGAACCTTGAGAAATACAGAAAAGAATAAAGTAAACACGGCTTGGGGGGGGGGGGATAGCACATATGTATATGAAAAGATACAATCAGGGAAGGCTTCAGGGGGGTCATATTTCATCTGGACCTTAGAGGACAGGTCAGGGTCAGATAATGCAAAGAGGAAGTCATGAAGGAGAAAGAATGATAATAATCGTAATCATAATGGTGGTAGTGTTTATGTAGCGCTTTAAGGTTTGCAAAGCACTTTGCCTGTATTCATTCCTTTGATCCTCACATCTACCCTGGGGAGGAAGGTGCTAACATTATCTCCCGTTTTATAGATGAGGAAGCAGAGGGAGATAGAGGTTTAAGTGACTTGACCAGGGTCACATAGCTAGTAATAACAACTACTAACATTTATATAGTACTTACTGTGTGCCAGGTACTGTGCTAAGTGCTTTAAAATTATCTCATTTAATCCTCACAACGATCCTGGGAGGTAAGTGCTATTATTATCCTCATTTTACAGAGGAGAAAACCGAAGCTAGCTGAGGTTAAGTGATTTGCCCAGATTCACACAGCTAGTGGTGATGGTGGTGGTGGTAGCGGTGGTGACAGCAGTAGTGACAGCAGTAACAGTAGCAATAAATAACATTTATATAGCCCTTACTGTGTGCCAGGCACTGTGCTAAGTGCTTTACAATTATTATCTCATTTGATCTTGACAACAACCCTTTCAAAAAAAAAGTTGTTGTCATTATCCTCATTTTACAGAAAAGGAAACTGAGGCAAACAGGTTAAGTGATTTGCTCAGGGCCACCCAGCTAGTAAGTATCTGGTAGGATTTGAATACAAATCTTCCTAATTCCAGGCCTAGCACTGTAATACTAAGCCACCTAACTAAGTCATGAAAAGCAGCAGAAAAATAAAGTCCTGTTTGGGGAACCTTGAGGAAGCCACTTAGATAGGAATGGAAGGTTTGTGTCAGAGAATAGGGAGAGAAAAGATTGCGAAGGTAGGTCATCTTGATTTGGTAGAGGAATTTTAGTGCCAAGCTAAGGGGTTTGGATTTTTATTTTCTCGTGTGCATATTAGAAAGCCGTTGATGGTTTTTCATATTTGAAGTGATAGGAATAAAGCTATGAATTAAGCAGTTTAACCTGTCAACATTATAGAAAAAGAATTGAGAGGAAAAGAGGTGGAAAACAGAAAGGCGATTTAGGAGATTCCATAGTCTAAATGTGAGATCATTTGGGATAAGTTGGGCCCAGGAAAGGAAGAAATGGGGGTGAGGACATTTAAAAAGAAAGAGGCAGTGTGGTGCTATAGAAAGAGCAGTTGACTAATCATTGAGCATTTCTTAGGCCTTTATTAGGTGCCAGCCATTTTGCTAAGCCCCAGAGATAAAGAGAAAGGCAAAAACCTGCTCCCTTCCCTCAAGGAGCTCACATTCCAACAGAGAAAACACGTGAATAATGTCAGTACATAGAAGATATGTGCAGGGTAGATGGAAGGTAATCTTAGGAGGGAAGGCCCTAGCAGCTGGAGGGGACCAAAATGACCCTCTTATAGAAAGTGAGAATTAAAGAAAACTGGAGAAATTCAGAGGCAGAGGTGAGGGTCACATTTGAGGAGCTGCAAGGAGGCCAGGATAGCAGGATTGTAGAGTACATGGTGGTTGTAGAATGGTGGCAGCTAGTTGGTGCAATGAATAAAGTGCTGGGCCTGAGTCAGGAAGACTCATCTTCCTGAGTTCAAATCTGGCCTCAGACACTTACGAGCTGTGTGACCCTGGACAAGTCACTTAACCCTGTTTGCCTCAGTTTCCTCATCTGTAAAATGACCTAGAGAAGGACACAGTAAACCACTGCAGTATCTTTGCCATGAAAACCCCAAATGGGGTCATGAAGAGTTGGAAACGACTGAATAACAACAAAGAGTGTGTGGGTAGAGAGGCAAGTATAAGATGACTGGAAAAGTGGAAATCACGAACTCTAAAGCCTGATGACCTGGTTTTGAAATCCCAGACTTGCTCCTTTTCAGCCTATGGCTTCACAATTTGGGATTTTTTTCCCCTTATCTATAAAGTGAAAGGGTTGGAATAGTTGACCTACAAAGCCCCTTATAGCTCTAAATCTTATCTGTTCTTTGAGGAAATGATAGGACTTGGTGACTGGTGAGATATAAGGAATAAGGGAAGCTTGCTGAATAGAAGAGTGATGAGACTTTTAATAGGTATACAGAAGTAAGGATAGGGAATGGTTTAAGGTTAAAATATTGAGAGTTTGGGGGGTTTTGTTTTTTTTAGATCTGTTGAGTGTGAGATAAAAATGGAACATGCATTTGTAATGTGGGTAGTTGGTGATGCAGCATATAGTTAAGGGGAAAGGTGAAGTTTAGAAGTATTGATGTGGAAATTATATATATTGTAATGTGTCCCATCCATTAACTTACACAGTCCTCATATAACAACTTCGAGAAATGTAGGTAGTAGCACACATCATCCCCATTTTACTGAAAATAAACTGAGGCTTTAAGAAGTTAAATTATTTACCCACAGTCACCCAACTAGTGAGTCTCGTGCTAGGAAAGCAGCTATAATAGGGTAAAAAGAAAAAAAAAGAGGGCCCAAGACTGAGCCTTGGGTGATGCCTACACTAAGGAAAAAATTGCCAATAATGGAAAAATATTTCCTTTTGAGCCTTTTTCCCATGTTCCCCACCTTCAGTGAAAGCTCCTCAGTGTCAATCACCACTAAAAATCACAACATGTAGGGCAAAGCAGAAAGACTAGTTTGTTACATGTACTGTTGGCCTGTCTGTCATCTTGACTTTTGTCCTGCCACTGGACTTCAGTGACTCAAGAAGAGGGAATGAGACTGACAACTTGGCATAGCTCTGCCTCGCTTAAATTCAGTTCACTCGAAAGTCAAGACATCGCCTGTGACATAGTATGTCTGCGGTCACTTACTGTTATACTATAGCATCTCTGTGTGTGTCCTGTGATCATTTAATAAGCTACATACGGGAAAAATTGCAAACAGCCACCAGTGTTCTGTGTTTGCATGTAACCTTGTTTTGGAAAAATATTATGAGTCAGTTTTTACTACATGAAATGTTCTAATTCTTGTCTCTTGTAGTTGTCCATTCATTTGCTGAAGCCAAATCAGAAGATGAAATAAACTGTCAACTTTTCCCGGAGTCCATTCTCCCTATGAATTCAAAGTATGACACCACCTTGGAAGAATCTATAGAGCAACTAAAGGAAGGCCTAGAAAGTGGGACCGTACTTATGCAGTTCGAGGTAAGAGATACCCAATGCTGTATTTGACAGAATTAATCATTAGCCTCAAGCCAGTCAGTTCTGCCTTGCCTGTCAGAACCACATGCTTGCTACTAAACTGACAATAACAGTCATAAGTAGAGGGTTTTTTTTCCTCTGTGCATAGAACACCAAACAAGCCATTTGTTGGGGGTCAGGGACATATAGTGGGGGGTCTTTACAGCTCTACCAGTCCATGATTTCTGTGCCCAAGCCTGTTTGTTCTTAGGATGTCACAGTAGACCTTAAGCCTAAAATAGATTAGGGTGCAGGCCTCAAGAAATTGATTTAAGCACCTTTTTGTCTTCATGTTTTCTTATAGTTGGGTAGTCAGAAAAAATGCATCAGGGGTTGGGGAGGAAGGACTTTCAGAGAATTCAGATGTTGAAAAAGATGCTTAAGAAGGCAGTATTATAAGAATAACTGGCATTTAGATAGCATTTTAAAGTTTGCAGTACTTTTAACCTATTTTATACCAGTTGAGCTTCACAGTTCCCTTGTGAGGTAAGGGACTGTAGGCATTATCACATACATTTTTACATTTAAGTCAATTTGGAGGACTTAATATCACCTATGTGGTGTCTGCAACATTATGGAAAAGTTAAACAAGTAGAAGAAGAGCCCTCATTTTGTTTGTCAAGGGTTAAGTTCGGGTTAAGCATTTATTAAGCACCAACAACGTGCCAGGCGCTGCACTAAGCCCTGGAGACCCGGGGAAACGCACAAATGGTCCCTGTTCCCCAAAGAGCTCACAGTCTAATTGAAGAGATGAGATATAAACAGCCAAACACAAACAAGATACATACACAATAAATTGGAAATTATTCTAGAGGGAAGGCGCTTTGCATTAAAGGAAATTGAGAATTGCTTCTCATAGAGGGGAGGATTTTAGCTGAGGCTTGAAGGAACCCACGTGGTGCAGACGAGGAGGGGGAGAATTCCAGCTGTGGGGATGGCCAGAGAAAATGCCCAGAATCCCAAAAGGGAGTGTCTTGTGCAAGGAAGAGGAAAGAGGCTGGTGTCACTGGATGGAAGAGTACATGGAGGTGCAGAGGAAACTGAGGCTTATAGAGAAGTGACCTGCCCAAGGTCACACAGTTAGTTGTGACAAAGCTAAGACTAGAATACAGCCATTAGCAATACTTCATGGAGTTATGGAAGCTTGGCCAACCTGTTTAAACAGGCTGTTGATTGTCAGTGGGAAATAAATGAACATAAGGATATTGGCTCTATTACTGTTTCCTAGAAATGTTGAATGCAGAATGGGAAACCCTAAAGAGCCTAGAAACTGTCTCAGCCAGACAAAATGTCATTGCCAAGTGGAAAGACATGACAGCCAAGAGTAACACTGACTTACAGAGGGGGATGGCAAAAACTGCCCCAGATAATCTTCCTAATGCATGGGTTTTGAACATGTCACTCTTTTGTTCAAAAGCATCCAGGGGCTAAAAGTATGCACATTTTTGCCAGGCTAAGGATAGCCTTCATCAGTCTGCTTCCTGCTGACCCTTCTGGCCTTATTTACCATTGTTTCCTTTCCCACAGCCCTTGTCCGGCTAAACTGGGCTATTAGCTATTTCCCAAGCCCACCATGCTCCCACCTGCCTCAGGACATTTGTTTGTTCAGGCCATCACCCATCCTGGAATAGGCTCTTTTCATTTCTCCCTTTCTTTCTCCGCTCAGCTTCCTCTTCCTCCATTAAGCCTTCTCTGATACCCACAGCTAAGAGTGCTTTCTCTCTACTCAAATTTTCCAAGAGAACTTTGTCTGAATCTCTTCTGAAGGCTAAAAAGGGCAGCAAAGGCATGGGGAGTTCCCCCAGGTGGCTGTGAATGTGGGTGACTTGACTGAAGCAAGAAGAACTAGGGTTCCTGGGGGGTCATGGAGAGGAGGACAGTAATAGGCACACCTTTGAAAGGTGTGGCAGGGATGTCACCTACATCACAGATCTCTGGGGATTCCTGAAATCTACAAGGAACTAGGACAGTTGTTTTATCCTGTGCTTTTCTACGTTGACCCTGCCCCACATAGATCATTCTTTGGTACCTAAACACTTTGAAGGAATTGAAGAAACAATTCACTACGGCCCTGATATCAGTCAGCCCAAATGCTACAAAAGCTCTCTGTTGTGGAGATGATATTTCTTACATATCATTACTTGTTGGTGTAAAGTGCTTTGGTCCTATGTGAACCCAGGTCTTCTTTAGTTGAAGGGTAGCCCATTCTCCTACACTGCCTCCCATTTTATGGATGAGGAAACTGAGGCTTAGGGAAGTCAAGGGAATCCTCCATGTTCACACAGCTATTAAGTGTCAGAGACAGGATTTAAGGCCACGTCTTCCTGACACTAAGCTCAACCACTCATCCACAATGGCCTGCTACCTCTAATCATCTGCTTGGGAAAATGACATGTGATGAAATGTGTGCATGGTCTGGTCAGGGTCAGTAGACCCTGTAGCCCACAGGCCAGATCCAATCTGCCGCCTGTACTTACACAACCCACAAGATAAGAATGATTTTTACACTTTTAAATAAAGTATTTATAATAAAATCTAGATTATAGCATGCAGACGTATTGGCAGCTTGTTGAATTAATTGATCAGTGTGTGTTTTGGATAATAACCATCCATATTTGTATATTGGCGATATGTTACTGTTCATGTTTTATCATGAAACTGCAGATGGATAGTAAGCCGGGCCCAGAATTGATCCCAGGAGTACATCTGAGCAGGAGTACATTGGAGAAGCGGTTCAGTGCTTCACATAATCCCAAACTGCCCGCTGTTGCAAGAGAATGCTTTGTTCACAGTAACATTCTCCAAGATGATATATTTTGATAAACCAGATTAATACCAGGGTCTCAGAACTGAAATTCAAAATAACCCATAGGGCATTGGGGTGATGAAGGTTGTGCAGATAAGAGGTGCAGAGTGTTCCCAACAGCTCAGACAGAAGTGAGGTATAGAAGAGGACGTGCATTCATAACTGATGACGGTAGCCCAGTTGGTTTGTTGGTACTCTCAGGATATTCAGAGAACAAGAGGAGGTCGCTAGAGTGCTAGTGAAGGCTTTATGTGAAAATATGAATAAAAATTACGGGAGACGGATGATAGAGCTCTAGAGTTGCCAGGAGCTAACCCCTTCATTTTACAGATGAGGAAACTGGTCACCAAAAACTGCCACCTGATTATCTCACCAAAAAAACCAACTCTAGCCTCAGACAGTTACTAGCTGTGTGACCCTGGGCAAGTCACTTAACCCTCTATTGCCTCCCTCCTTACCACCCCCCCAAAATAGAATTCTTCCCATTTTAAATTTGAGATCTATCTCTTGAATTTATCTTCTTCTAGATGCCCCCCCCCCTGGAGCAATAGTGCAGTTAATTACAGGATTCATACATAAGGCTAAAGAATCAACTGCATTACTGTCAAGGCTGGGTCCAACATCTGATTGATAGTGATGTTGCTATGAGATGGTCTTTATACATTGGCGTCAAACTCAAATAAAAATGGGGACCACTAAGCAATCCAGAAGGATACCTGCAGACTATATGTTGACTTAAAAAACTACATATTAACATTATCTATGTTTTATTGTATTTTTGTTTATTTTGTGAAATATTTCTCAGTTATATTTTAATCTGGTTTGTGGGGAAAGGGAAATATTGCAGGGCCTACATATTTGACACCCTGGTCTTATAGATAAGAAACTGGTAGTTTGTACCTACGTTGACTGCTCTATTCCTAAGCTAATGCTTGTACTCTTTTTAAAAACAACCTTTGCATTGATGTAAGAGGCAGGATGGTGTTGTGGGTAGAGATCTGGCCTTGGAGCTGCATTCAAATCCTGCCTCTAACATACACCTGGGCAAATTGCTTAATTATTCAGTGCCCAGATATGATGTGCAGATTATAGATTGCAGAGAAGGTGCCAACATATATGGGTAGAGGGAGGTTTCCTCACTTGTGCCAACACCCACAAATCATAGGTCCAGCCCTATCTCTGTTCCTTACATCAAAACAGTTTTTGTTGAACTTGGCAAAAAAAGGTCATTTTAGAACTTTAGATGATTCCTGGAGTTTAACTCTAACACAGATTTGAAGCAGCTGGTCAGCCCTGGCTGGCAACAGGAACAGGGAAGAGGAAAGTTGCAAGATGGGACTTTCAAATTGCAGTTGTTTTCAGTTGCATCCAAATCTTCATGGCCCTACTTGGGGTTTTCTTGGCAAAGACACTGGAGTAGTTTGCCATTTCCATCTCCAGGTCATTTTACAGATGAGGAAATGGAGGCAAATAGGGTGAAGTGACTTTCCCAAAGTCACACAGTTAGTAAGTATCCAAAGTCAGCTTTGAATTCAGAAAGAAGAATTGTCCAAACTCCAGGACCAGCAGTCTATCCAGTATTCCACCTAGCTTCCCCTCAAATTCGGTAGTTTTAGCATTTGTTGGAAGGCAAGGGAAATTATTATTTCATAGAGTGAATTTGGAACTAAATTTATTAATTCCTTAAGGACAGAATTCTGTTTGGTGAATTTTTTAGGCAAGTATTTTGTATATTTTAAAATTTAGCAACTTTTAACTCTTTATCAGGTCATGTTTATGTAGCATTTTGCAGTCTATAGAGCACTTTCGTCCCCAGTGAGGCAGTCTGTACAAAGATTTTTGACTCCCATTTTACAGATGAGGAAACTGAGGTTCAAAAAGATTAAGTGTGTCAAAGCTGGGTGAGAGGAGCACGGGCTGGTGCAGCCCTCGGGCAGTGGTAGTGGCTGTTTCAGGAGCTCTTGGCCCATAGACGGAGGGGGTATTGAGTAGTTGACTAGAGGGGGATTGCAAGGATCTGTTTGCTGGCACTGAGGCAGGATTCTCTTGCTTTGCTTGTCCTTGGCTCTGAGTCGACAGTCTGGGTGGTGGTCCTGGGGCAAGGAGGAGCACTGACATGGCAGAGCTTGTGGTGGTGATGAAGAAGGAATCCTCCTCA